GGTCTGTGTGGGAGTGACTGTCAAGTGAATGCTGTACATGCGCAGTGCTAGTTTGGTCTGGGAATGAGAGTCGTGTGTGATTCGTCCGTGGTCTGGTTGTCTTGGTCTTGGTCATGTGTTCTGTACGTATTTGTCCCTGATTGGTCGTTTCGATGTGTTCGCCCTTTTCTCTGTTTTATAACTGTTGGTTGTTTATTATTTCTTTGTCTTTTCTCCCCCGTTCTCCCGCCCACCAGTTAGTTATTTATTCCAAGAGATCTAATTCAAGAAACTGTGTCGTCCTCTTGCCCGCGTGGATGAGTCGGAGAGTGGTTGTGTGGCGGGGAGCGGGGGGGGGGGGGGGGGGGGGGGAAATTCCTTTACATTGGCGCCCAACTAGTGATCGTAACCCACGACCCTGAGATCGATATCGTTTGAGCCGTGGTTTCAGTTTGTGCTCGCCGTTGCCCCTTCGTTTTTCCTTTTTCTTTGTCGACGCTTGGCGACTTTATTATTTTTATTCCTTTCTCTTCGTTAACCCTTTGCCGGTCTAACTCAATGTATGTGAGGGGTGGTCACGCAATTACATGTACACACAACCAGCAATAACTCAAGAACCATGTGATGTAGGTATGGGTAAACCATATATTTTCAAAATCTGTATGCCTGAACGCGTCCAGAAAATTCAAATATGACTAGGTCCAGGCAAGGATAGGGCCCATGGTAGCCCTTCAAGTTGAGAGAAAATACAAATGCGAATGAAATACACGAATATCACAGCACGAAGGACATACCAAGTTCGTGATGGAGCTGAAGTCGTACGAAAAACAATCAGGTAAGGGCTACGTCTTTACAAGAAATGTAGGCTCTCTACAATACCGCCATTGAACACCAACACCTCGCCATCGGCGATACGTCAGCAGCAGCAATTCCCATTCCACGATATTGCAGTTTTGGTTTGTTCATCTCAGCGCTGCTCGCGTCAGATTCACTCTCGCTCAGATGAGTACTCAGGCGCGAGCTTACGCATGCCGTGATTCTCACAGCCAGGCGAATCAGCTGATCGCACCTGACGAGTCCTTGTGACAGTCGCTGTCGCCGTGTCGGCAGCAAGAAGGCTTCCTCTCTGTTTGGAGAATTTTGTTTCTTCATTCGTGGACGATATATTTTTGAACTAGCAGGACTCAACGGAGCTCTTTTTCTCAACACACTACACTGCAAAACCTCCCGGGGCATCCAGCCTGGACTGGTGATGTAACTGCTCTCAGAACGCTTGTCAAACACGGCCCCAAGAGATGCACTCGCATTCTTGAAATGCGCGCATGGAGGATGGTCGTCTTTTCCAATTTCAACAAACTTCAGTCGATCGATACGGCAAAAATTTGTATGGTAAGCATGGTTGTTTTGCACATCGTCAGAAAGCCTTGGACCTCAGCTACGCGTAGAGCGCCATTTTAGCTGTCTCCTAGCAACAAGACCCCAAAAAAATGAGGGCCAAACGTACCGATACTATAGTATCGGTACGCTTATGGTAGACCGGTAAAGGGTTAAAGTTTGGCTACGCGTTGCTTGTTGTGGATACTCTACTGGACACCGACGGCATGATGCTACTCGACTTCGCCCCGCCATGCGTTGGTGGTACATGTTGGGAGACAGTGGTCGTTCATCAGGCTGATTCACCCTCGCGCTGCACTACGCGCAAGCCTCTTATCCGGTGAGTCGCTCCCGGAACGGGATGTCATTGTTGTACTAGTTTAGTGTAAGCTTGGTTCGGTTTTGAAGTTGCCACACACGTATTCCTGTGATGGTTTGTAGGATTCTCGTTTCGGATCCAGGTTGAATTTTTTTTGTGAGCGTATGGTTTTGTAATAATTGTGTTTCGGCATGTGGGTCTCTCTAGTTCGTTTGGGTGGGCGTCTGATCATGGTGAGCCACGGTCTGCCTGGTGGTCTGCAGGGATCCTGTGTTTTGTTGTATCGGTTTGCCTTGCGGGTGTTATGATTTGCGAAGCGGATGTAGTTCCGTGTTTTTCAGGTTCAATCCCTGTGGTTTTTTCAGGTTCAATCCCTGTGGTTTTTTCTCTATAATATTATTTGCGTATTGGTGACCAGTTGTTTGTTTTGTTCCTGCTGTCCTTACCTTGTACTGATCAGATGCTGCTGTACCTGTGTTTCTTTTTTTTGCCCTGCTTGGCGCAGCAACAACAAGCAAGCACCGGAACACCATGACACCTCTCATTGAGGTTATGGTGGAGGACGATCTACACATTTTATAAACTAGTTTCACCATAATTCATAATTCACCATCATTCTCTCCATAGTAATCCCTATTCTCTGTAAGGAGTCGTGGTCGACTCCTCCCGTTGGGGGAGGCTGTGCTACGAAATTCGATTCGCTTATTATTTACATCCGTTGTTGTTCCTGGTCTCGCTGTCTTGTCTTGTCCGGTGTCAAATATGGTCTGCTGTCTGTACGGGAGTGATGCGGGGTGTGCAGTATATGGTGTGATGTGTGACGTTTATGGTGTCTGGTGCATGCAAGAGTACGCGTTGTCAGAGTGTGAGGATGTGCTACGGGTCTGTGTGGGAGTGACTGTCAAGTGAATGCTGTACATGCGCAGTGCTAGTTTGGTCTGGGAATGAGAGTCGTGTGTGATTCGTCCGTGGTCTGGTTGTCTTGGTCTTGGTCATGTGTTCTGTACGTATTAGTCCCTGATTGGTCGTTTCGATGTGTTCGCCCTTTTCTCTGTTTTATAACTGTTGGTTGTTTATTATTTCTTTGTCTTTTCTCCCCCGTTCTCCCGCCCACCAGTTAGTTATTTATTCCAAGAGATCTTATTCAAGAAACTGTATCGTCCTCTTGCCCGCGTGGATGAGTTGGAGAGTGGTTGTGTGGCGGGGGGGGGGGGGGGGATTCCTTTACACAGGGATCCGCAGATGTGTATGTATATGTGTACGGAAGTGTGTGCATACGGGAATGTGTACGGGTCTAAAGGGCTCATACAACAGAACTATACACTTCTGTTACAAGGTAGTGAGGAGCCAGAAAGTGCGATAACAGAGCGCAAGGCTGACAGGCTACTGAGCCATTCAACATCCTGAGAACCAGCTCAAACACATCTCCAGCTCGGCAACCATCAGCCTTCCGGCTCGGAAGGTTCAGGGTTATGGTAGGACCAATGAGGACTTTCTGACTGCGTATTATTTTGTTACCGTGGTGAACAGTTGCTTCATAACTCGTTTCCATGTGATTTCTTCTATTTTAGCTATGCAAAAGACGCTCCTTTAGTAGCACTTAGCGCTAGCCAGGGTCCACAGCATTTTATTTCATTTTTTGGTGGGTACGGCCATCATCACGCGATGTACCATGCCCCGCGCTGGTACATGTCCCGTATCATACCAGCACAAACTGCTGGCCACATATAGTTTTTAAATGAATTTGACGCACGTGTACTTCCTCCATATACAAAATATTCCTGACTTTTTTCAAAGGGGGGTTTTGAGCAAGAACTCGGTCAACAAACCACACCAAAGACTATCAACGACAACCCACATTTATGTTGAGGTACGTTTGGTTGACCATGGAGCCAAGAGGGTGGGAACGTTGCCGACGGAACCTAACTAGTCAAGTAAAAAAATCTTCCACATGCCAGACTCTGTGAAAAGCAATCGAGAGATCAAAAAAGGTGGCAGTGGTTGACATATGTCACCGGATCTTCATCTTCTTCCAATCGTCGCATGAACGCCTCAATAAACGTTGTGTGCGAAATACGTAAGCGAAACTCACTCCTACGCAACCTTGTACCTATTTCCAGCTTAGCAGGTATGTGTTCGTGCTGTTACCACATGCACAGTGGGGTAAAAATGCTGCACGGTAGTGTCGTACATGTGGCTGCGCTTGTGTATCTTCGTTGTACATGCGGTTGCACGTGTAGCTCTTTGTCGTACATGTGGCTGCTTTTGTGTCTCTTTGTTGTACATGCTGCTGAGTCGTGGTATATGCTGCTGCGCTGTTTTTGACTCCTGCGTACATGCGGCTGCACCGTCTTCTGTCCCCGTTGGTACACACTTGCTCGTCTTGTCCCCGTTGTACGCCTTCACTATAATATATTCTGTTGTCTCGTCTTGTCTCAGTGTCAGTCGTCCGTCGTTCGTTTTCAGAGTTAGTTCTTCATTATGAGTTCTCCAGTCGCCTTGTGAAATCAAGTCAGAGAAAACGCTCTCTAACAATTTGTTCTGGTCCTTTGTTGTGTGGCGTAGCGAGGAGCGTAGAGGCAGTTCGTTCACGGTTTCAAACGCGTGACGGCAGTAGGGTAAAAATGGTGCACAGTAGAGTAAAAATCCTGCACAGCAGGGTAAAAATGCTGCCCAGTCGGGTAAAAATGCTGCACAGTAGGGTAAAAAATTAATGATGCACCGTAGGGTAAAAATGATGCACAGTAGGGTAAAAAGTGCTGTGTCTACGTCCACGTAAGGAGTTTTAGTTGATTGCCATGATGACCAATGTTGAAGCTTGATTTTAAACGGGAGAAGGGGAAGTGGGAAGCGGAGACATAACTTGATGACAGCCTTAATGACATGTACACTACTGCATAAGTACAAATTTCCATTGGAATAAGCTTTCACTATATTCGTTAGGGCACAAAATAACTAAAGTTTGCCAAACAAAAGTTTTCTTTTCTGAACACTCGGGGTGACAGACCTCGACCGAAAACGAAATTTAATACATAAGAAGCCTGCTGGTGGAGTGATCTAACGAAAGATTTCGTGAAAGAAAATTTGTAATTACACAGTATTAACATATCGATCCTGATCGTGATTTGTTTCAGTTCTGATTTGTTCTTTCTCTCCTAGCCACTTCACCTACTTGGTCCACTGTTTGAATTGTCGTCGCTATACTAAGAGCATGATGACTAAAAATCAATCCTTTCTGTAGGCTTCCAATCTGTTGTCTGAAGCAGACATGGAATGCCGCACACCTTTCAAACGGTTGCTTTTCTTCCCTTTTGAATGTTTTGTACAGCTGTGAAATGTGTTGTTCCTCCAATTGACAATGGTGTTACTGACCAGAGGGTAATCAAAATGGAGGAATCTGTTACCTATTCCTGCACAAAGAATCTAGGTTTAGTGGGTATTGCCGTGCAAACTTGCACTTTTAGTGGAACTGTTAATGGAACTCTTTCCTCTGTGCCGCCTCACTGTGCATGTAAGTTCTGTTTGATAGGCATATTATTATTGTCATGGCCGCGCTTCGGCGGGTTTGTGACTTGGCTTAGATCAGTCTAGTGGCTACCCAGGTAGACGACCAATATAGTCGCCATCCAAGTTGCTAGCTCACATAGAACGACAGGTTTCTAATTCCACTTGAACAGTGTTTATTTGAACCATTGCAGTACTAGATCGAAAGATCAAGTGTGTAGAGTCAAAAGACCAAAGCAGGAGAGAGTCGGAGTGACTCTCTCAGAATCGAGAGGAGTAGTGAGCTCCCCGAGAATCGAGAGGAGTAGTGGGCTCCCCGAGAATCGAGGATGAATGTTAGCAAAACAGCTCCTTATATATGCTACATTATGTGATCAAAAGTATACAGTGGCAAGAATGCGTAAGGATTATTTCTATATTACAAACAGTGGTGCAATATGTGCAATCAGCCAAACTAGAATATAGTACAAAGAATGATCAATCAATACGGGGAGCTCGCTCACCCACATTACATGAAAGGACTCCGAGGCTCTTCGTGCGACGGGGCCTGGAGTATGCTGTCGGAAGTTGCTGCAGCTAGAGCACGCCGCCTCCGTACGCTGCCTTGGTCGTTGGTCACCCTTCTCCTGCCCGTATACGCGTAGGCTCTTCCCTCTCATTACCCCGTAGGGTGCTTCACGGTCAAGCCGTGACCTCTCCCAAAAAGGGATAACGGAGTCCGCAGTGCGCGAAGCACTTGCAGGACCCTTTACGTCGTACGACGCGAGAAGAGGTGCCATGCTTGCTCGACAAACAAAGGTATCAGCTCCCTTGCAGGACTAAGCAGGGTCCCCTCAAGCTCAACAGTGTAGTGAGTACAATGCTGACGACTTGTACTGAAGGTGTAGCCGCCGTACGACAACACTTGTGACTCGAGGCCACGAGTTGTAAGCCATGATTGCTCAACTAACGAAAGTGCCAAATCCTTCGTAGGACTAATCATGGTTCTTACAGAACTCTAGAATATTTCGGAGCCCAGCTTTTGGCTGCTGAACTCAATGCATGGTCGCTTTCACGACGAGTCTGATCCGGGTCATGACAATTCCCCGGCCTCTCAAGAATCACGTCCCCGTGATCTCAAAGGCTAACGTTAAAGTCAGCGAGTCGTGACGGTAACCGCCCAGCTCTCGTTGGCCAAGCCAACTGGTTCTGCACCGTAACAGGTACGGGCATAGAGTACGAAATGTGGCTCCACAGGCGGGACATTTCCATCAAAAAAATTCCAACTTCAAAATGAAACTGGTACTGCTCCACTATCGTAGAGATGAGCCTGGTGCTGATGATCAACACGCAGCTTGTCATGTACAACTAAATGCACGTTGCAAATCTTCACGCAAAGCGTATACGTATGACAGTTCGCCATTTCGTGTCATCTCAGATGAATGTAGACCATAGGCCATAACGTGTGGTCGACACACCCTTCTACCAAGTAGGTATCCGGTTCAGTACAAAAACTGCTGCAGAGCTCCAGGAGCCATTTCATAGATTTGGTGGTATCCAACGAATCGGTTCCACCCACACTCCACCCATTACAAAAGACCTTGGCGACCTCGCCAAGACTCCACGGTAGGTTCATTGCTGCCAGCAAGGACAGACACAATGGCATACGCCTAGTAGCCTGTGCAACAGGACCACGATCACGTGTCTCAATTTTGTAGTGTAGCACCGAAGTGCGATCAAGCTCAGATGGGTTCAAAGCGAACGCATCTCGATACCGAAGCACTAAGGCTTGCAAGCAGTGGATCTCCTCGCAGGAGATACCAGATTGTCCCAGAGATGTCTCATTACCATCTCTTCTGACCCCCACTTCCGTGTGTTCCAGGTCCGAGTCCAGCTCGTCCACACACCTAGGCTCCAGGATCGAGTCCAGCTCGTCCAACCTACAGGCTCCAGGGTCGAGTTCGTCCTCGCCCAACCTCAAAGGTTCCATGGATGAGTTCGTCCTCATCCAACCTTTCCGGGGGTCCACAACCGGACATCTTGCGCCAATGCGCAACTGCTTCCAGACCCCGAGAGAGTCCTCCGTCTCAGCTATTTGAACTGATTCCTCTCCCTGGCCATCAGCCAGAGTGTCTTCGGTCACGATGCTCATGACCTCAGATATTGGTTCTAACCGACCAATCTGCATTGCCCTCTCTAGAGCCACTGCCTCGTCAGAGTAATTCAACACCCGTACGGGAACACCATCCACCGTAGGGCTCACTAGCGCATGCGCCATCATGACATCATTCATTCCTTGAAAACACCCATCAGGTATCGTCAAGGCACAGGTCGGCAACCCTTCCGACGTGTCTAGCACGGCGTTAACCGTCACCTCCGAAAAGGGAGTATCACTTCACGCCTCCGCAAGCGAAGAACGTGCTCTCGTTTGCCGTCACCATCATGGTTTGGCGGAACGACGTCAGCTTTAGAAGCTTTAAAATGCAGTGCTCCACCACCCGAAGTGATCTCGCAAGGAATTGGGACAGCACCTCGCGTCCAATGTCAGAACCAGTAACCAACATCATACTTAGTACGTGACGAAACACCACAGGGTGCGGACGTCGCGACATATCCGACACCAAACAGGCATCGTCCAACACAGAAATGCTGGTTTCAGGTGGGCATCAGCTCACTAGTGATTTCCATCACACTCCAATCAAAACATTTGAGATCCGCATCAGCGAACTCAAATCAGCAGTTGTTCAAGCTCTCTGCAGAACTTGTTACTGTAGCATCGTTTCAGCCAGCATCTCAACTGGTGCGCCCAGTTTCAAAATCTGGCTTCGTGACTCCGTCACACGACAAGGACATAGTCCTCTTGACTGTTTTTGAACCGTCAAAGTTCAAAAGAACAGCAACACTCCTCAACTGCAGCTGAAGTTGAGGGCAACGTAGAAGCTAAGCTTCATGCAGTCATCGATCCTGCCACTGCAAGACGACTCTAAAAGTCTAAAAGCATTTCGCTTCTCGAGCAGTTTCTGTGCAAGCGCTGACAAACAGCAGAGTTTCCTCATTGCACGTCCTTGCAAGAACCTCCGTGGGTTCGAACAATGCGCCGTCTACACCGCAAATCGAGTGCAGCTGACACATATCTCAGACCAACAAGTGGTGCGGGAGTCGAAACTCTCGTCGGCGGCATGACCGACTTTCGCCAGGTCTTCCGGAAAAAAAAAGTTGGCACGCCAACTAGTAGCAACAGCTACAAAACAGAACGAGTTCACGTTCCATGTGCACGCACTCAGACAGAGTGTTCAACTGAACGGACCAAGGCCAGAACAGAACAAACAGTTCGCTGCCGAATCCACTTGAGAACTGCATGCAGCCTCGTGAAATCGACATCAAATTCACACCTCTGCGTGCTCGAGTAAACAAGAGCTCAGAGTTCAGCATGGACCAGTGCACACCGAGTTACGACTACTCTGCCGGAGCAACAGCAAGACGCAACTTGGATCCTGGTCACAGCCCCAAATGTCATGGCCGCGCTTCGGCGGGTTTGTGACTTGGCTTAGATCAGTCTAGTGGCTACCCAGGTAGACGACCAATATAGTCGCCATCCAAGTTGCTAGCTCACATAGAACGACAGGTTTCTAATTCCACTTGAACAGTGTTTATTTGAACCATTGCAGTACTAGATCGAAAGATCAAGTGTGTAGAGTCAAAAGACCAAAGCAGGAGAGAGTCGGAGTGACTCTCTCAGAATCGAGAGGAGTAGTGAGCTCCCCGAGAATCGAGAGGAGTAGTGGGCTCCCCGAGAATCGAGGATGAATGTTAGCAAAACAGCTCCTTATATATGCTACATTATGTGATCAAAAGTATACAGTGGCAAGAATGCGTAAGGATTATTTCTATATTACAAACAGTGGTGCAATATGTGCAATCAGCCAAACTAGAATATAGTACAAAGAATGATCAATCAATACGGGGAGCTCGCTCACCCACATTACATGAAAGGACTCCGAGGCTCTTCGTGCGACGGGGCCTGGAGTATGCTGTCGGAAGTTGCTGCAGCTAGAGCACGCCGCCTCCGTACGCTGCCTTGGTCGTTGGTCACCCTTCTCCTGCCCGTATACGCGTAGGCTCTTCCCTCTCATTACCCCGTAGGGTGCTTCACGGTCAAGCCGTGACCTCTCCCAAAAAGGGATAACGGAGTCCGCAGTGCGCGAAGCACTTGCAGGACCCTTTACGTCGTACGACGCGAGAAGAGGTGCCATGCTTGCTCGACAAACAAAGGTATCAGCTCCCTTGCAGGACTAAGCAGGGTCCCCTCAAGCTCAACAGTGTAGTGAGTACAATGCTGACGACTTGTACTGAAGGTGTAGCCGCCGTACGACAACACTTGTGACTCGAGGCCACGAGTTGTAAGCCATGATTGCTCAACTAACGAAAGTGCCAAATCCTTCGTAGGACTAATCATGGTTCTTACAGAACTCTAGAATATTTCGGAGCCCAGCTTTTGGCTGCTGAACTCAATGCATGGTCGCTTTCACGACGAGTCTGATCCGGGTCATGACAATTCCCCGGCCTCTCAAGAATCACGTCCCCGTGATCTCAAAGGCTAACGTTAAAGTCAGCGAGTCGTGACGGTAACCGCCCAGCTCTCGTTGGCCAAGCCAACTGGTTCTGCACCGTAACAGGTACGGGCATAGAGTACGAAATGTGGCTCCACAGGCGGGACATTTCCATCAAAAAAATTCCAACTTCAAAATGAAACTGGTACTGCTCCACTATCGTAGAGATGAGCCTGGTGCTGATGATCAACACGCAGCTTGTCATGTACAACTAAATGCACGTTGCAAATCTTCACGCAAAGCGTATACGTATGACAGTTCGCCATTTCGTGTCATCTCAGATGAATGTAGACCATAGGCCATAACGTGTGGTCGACACACCCTTCTACCAAGTAGGTATCCGGTTCAGTACAAAAACTGCTGCAGAGCTCCAGGAGCCATTTCATAGATTTGGTGGTATCCAACGAATCGGTTCCAC